ACACCTTGTTATCTCTTTTAACCTTCCCTGTCTTTGTCTTGTGCACAGATTGCATATGGATTGTTGCTGCCACAAGCCCCAAGAGACCAACACCAGTCTCTGAGGAGAAAAAGCAAACCTCGGAGGATGCAGAGTTCCATTCTTGCCCTGCACCCAACACTGGATAGCAACACCTCACCAGGTAAGGAAACCATAAACTGGTGAGGGTGCATCAGAGTCATGCATGCAGATGCCAGATTCTGAGATGGAGCAGTCAGGCAAGTGCTTGAGAAGTGCTAAATGCTGAGTTCCAGTATGATTATCCTTTGGAGTTATCTGTAAGGCAAATGATGCTGGATGGTCAGTGCAAGGTGTGTGGAGATCTGGTGGAGATACCAGAGGAGTTGTGTGTTTTGGCACAGAATTTACTGCTGTCCATTCAGGCGCTGTGCACTGAGATCATCCCCTCCATAGAATGTATGGCTTCCTCCATTGATTGTCTTGCAGGGCCAAACTCAGGAGAATACTAATAAAATTGTTGCATGCATTCTGACCTGCACTCCATCACCAGGGGTCCAGAGCCAGGATGATAGGAGAACAAGGGGCCTTGTGTCCCTCTCAAGAAAGCAGGGAGGGCCAAATGGACCTCCTGGTAGAGTGTGAGCAGCACCTGATTCAAACTCAGGCCATTTCTGATGGAGACAACTCTTCTCTACTCTCCTGCCATTGGCATAGAGACTTTCAAGTGCTGTGGTGGCAAAAGGCTCTGTTGCCATTGTGCAGGAGACACCCATGATATTGGGGTCTTCACAGCCTCCAGTGACTGGAGGACTTGTACCAAAGACAATACAGACTAGGGGGCAAAAGTGAAAGCAGTTGTATCCACTGCAGCAGCAAATGAGGGGAAAGCACCATGCCACAGTACCTGGAAAGAACCAAGAAATCCCCACAGCAATCATGCTTCAGTACATATAGATGAATTTATATTTTGCATTATTTGCGATTGACAGTGACAATGTCACTATGTACATAAATGATGACTTGTTTGAACATCCTTGAAGCTTGTTTTATTAGAATGTATTGAGATGGACTGCATACTCGAGTATGTTCTCCAAAGGTCTGAATATTATTTTGAAGACAGTAATGATCTGGATCCTTGATGGCCCTATTTCTGCCATGGCTCACATTGCAAACACATGGATCAAAACAGCACTGTTCAGTGGGCTGATTGAAACTGTTTCTCAGGCTGGATTTTAGCCTGGAGTTGGACATTTGGACCCCTGACATAGAAAAACACAGAACCAATTCCAAACTGTGATTTATAGCACCTACCTAGGTATGTATGTGCAGAGAGTGGAGCCAAGTAAAGTCAGTTTGGCGCAGTTTGATGCACTTCAGAAACAGCATAAGAATGTCTCCCCAACCTGATTCTTTAGTGTTAGGTGAGACGTGAAAGGTTTCTCTGCTCAATTGTGAAATAAAAAGCAGAATGTAGTCATAAGATTGTAAGGTGGTAATTGAGCCCAGATTAATTCACTGATCCAGAGAAGTTCCAATGTTCTACCTTTTATTTGAGATAATTCCAAAGCTTTAATTCCTGCTGCTGTTATGGCGGGTCAATTCCAAGTGTTGGAATCTGTTACTGTTCAACAATTGTTTAAAACCAGGTCACATCTTTTGATTGCTGTGGTTAAAATGTAATGAAAAAGTCAATATGTATTACCATCAGCTACAATGCGGTTTATGATTCAGGGAAAGAAAGATTTTTTAAAAATTCCTTGTGCGTACATGAGGTTGATCAGATCATTTCAAAATACATTTCTATTGTTTCACACTGAAAAATGAATAAATGTTCTGTACAGAGGCAGAATGCTGATCTTCATTCTACAGATTGGGCCAAAGTATTTCATCATTTAATTACAGAAGAAATTCTGCTGTAATGGGCAAGTATAAAGTCTGGTTTAAACAGAGACTGGAGTAGAAATTTGTCTTAGATAATGGTGCAAAATGGGAGTTGTTTTTTTTTAATCCAGAAGTGCTCTTACACACAACTAGATGTTTTTTTTCCATGACCAAATCACCTGTGGTATTTTTTCCATCTATTAACCACCACTGGTAAAGCACCCATATTTTCTAATTGATTAATTTACGTGCAAAGCCCATTAAGCGTAATGCACACCGTCAAAGATGAGGGAGAGGTAGGGAGAGGGGGGATAATGGGACTTTTTCATTACCAATCACCTGTGTTTTTTTTCCCATTGATTAATTAACACAAGCAAATCACCTATGTTTTCAACTGAACAATTTACGTGTAAAGCCCATTAAGGGCAATGCAAACCATTAAAGGCGAGGGAGAGGTAGGGAGGGGAGGACATGAGAGTTATTGGATGGTTGTCTGATACACAGCACCTGATATTCAGTTAGACTACAGTCAGTGGGGTTAAGTATGAGGTACTAATCAGTATGGTACCAAATGGCCAGTCTGTTGCCACACGTTTTGTACTGCAGCCTGAGAAAACCTCTCTTTCATTATGTTAAAAAGTGCTTCTTTCCATCCTAGTTACAGTGCTGATCTCAATGAAATACAAGAAGAATATTTACTTATTGTATCCAGCCCTACCCTGATATACCCAAAATACGCTCTCACTTGGCAGCATGATATCCTGATCTTGTTGTGTGAAAGGGAAATAAGTGGCTCTTTACACTGAGGAAAAGATAAGGATACTAGGAATAAGTGATTATAGTTATCTGGAATGATGGAAAGGGCTGGGACTCTTTTTTTTGTTTAGAAAAGTGAAAGTTGAAAGTAACCGAGCAGAGTTCTGAAAACTTGTGAAGTTGTTTATTGGGTAAATATCGTGAAAAAGTTCTTTCCACTTGTGGGGAGTCCAAAACCAGAGGAAACTAAGATAAGACAGTTGCTAATAAATTCAATTGGAAATTCAGGAGAAATTTCCTTTTACCTAAGGAATAGTTAGAGGATGTAATTTGTTACCAATAAAGACCTGGTAGTTCAACTGAATAAGATGCTTCATAAATAAATAAAGGAGAAGGGAATAGATGGCTGTGTAGATACAGTTAGGTTAATTAGGGTCTAAGGCATGGAGCATAAATACCAGCATTGACCATTTGGGCTGAATGGCCTCTCCACGTACTGTAATTTCCATATAATTCTATGTAAATAGCCTTCCTATGAATAAACTAAAACTGTTGCTGAATTTCATACATTATGCCACAGTACAGTGAAATCGCGGTGTCAAATTCAGATAACCTCCAAATTCCAGTTGTGTTGAAGTTACCAGCTGTTCCAACTGGCAGAATAGCAATTTCAATAGAATGATGTCCCTGATAAACTGAAGTTCCAAACTGAAACTCCCAATTAGCTGAACTTGAGATTTGATCATGCCAACCTATTGGAGTGGGTCGAACTGATGTTCTTGCCTCCCAACAGTCTCTAGCCATTGGATCAGAAGGAGATTAGGAATCTGAAAACCCACTACCAATGCCAGCTGATCTCAGGTTAACTAGGCCATTGATAAGAAGTAGGAGTACAAGCCATCTGTTATTGAGGCCACATTCATGATGAAGAAGGTGTGGAAGATGGTGATAATAGCTGCTGTTGAAAATTGCTTCTACAATGTTGGGATCAAGTGGGCTGTAACTGCTCAAGACACTGAGAATGAGGAGGAGGAGTATAGTGGGGATAACTAACTCAATGACAGGCCTCTTTTTGTTCACTTATAAGAGGCCAGCATGACAATACAAGCAAAGACAGTCATGTAAACCAATAGTAAAGTGGATGACACTGAACACTGTACAATAAACCTGACAGATGAAGCAACTATAGATGCAGTAGATACAATCACTGAGGAGCCTGAGGAGACCAACATCAAAGCTGCTCACTAGCTTGTTTCCCTGGCTGAAGCTGTAAAGGTCATAGAGATACACAGGGATTTTGAATTGCTTCATGGAAACAGTCAAACAGGTTTTCTGAATTAATACAATGCTGGACTGTATCATTCCTGTCAAAAGACACTATGCTAAGCAAAAACAATTACAGAGACTTTCCAGCCTAACTTCCAAAATTTTTCAAAGTCTTTTTCTGGATGAGGATATGCCATTGTAAGGTGTGAACAACTTAAAAACAAAGACAACGCCTCCCGCCCTCCCCTCTCCTCCCTTGTCCGCCTTCCGCAGGGACCGTTCCCTCTGGGACACCCTGGTCCACACTTCCTTCACCCCCAACACCTCCCCACAGCCCTACGGCACCTTCCCCTGTAACCGGCCAAGGTGCAACACCTGCCCATTTACCTCCTCCCTCCCCAGTATCCAAGGGCCCAAGCATACCTTCCAGGTGAAGCAACACTTCACCTGCACTTCCCAGAATCTAGTCTACTGCATTCGCTGCTCACAATGTGGTCTCCTCTACATTGGGGAAACTAAGCGCAGACTTGGCAACCGCTTTGCAGAACATCTACGTTCTACTCGCAAAAAAGACTCTGAACTACCTGTTGCCTGCCACTTCAATGCACCACCCTGCTCCCTGGCCAACATCTCTGTCTCTGGCTTGCTGCAGTGTTCCAGTGAAGCCCAACGCAAGCTGGAGGAACAACACCTCATTTTCCGCTTGGGGACCCTACAGCCCTCCAGACTCAATATTGAGTTCAATAATTTTAAGGCCTAAACTTTCCCCTGTCCCAGACCCCCACCCCACACACCAGGCTTTGTTACCACATAGCCTGCCATTACACACCCCCTGTTGTTAGTCACTAACAGTCCCCATTAACAACTATTCACCCTCCCAGCCTGATTGTTAGCAACTCCTTTGTCTGTCCAACTGTCTTTCTCTCTCTTCGGGCTCTATCCTATTGTTTACTCCTTACCCCACCCACCTCCATATAAACTGACGTTTTCCCAGCCACCATCAGTTCTGAGGAAAAGTCACCGGACCCGAAACGTTAACTCTGTTTTCTCCTTCACAGGTGCTGCCAGACCTGTTGAGCTTTTCCAGCAACTTTGTTTTTGTTCCTGATTTTCAGCATCCGCAGTTCTTTTGGTTTTTAAAAACAAAGATGATTTTTTACATGTTACTCTGTTTTCATTTGGGATTTTTTTGACAACGACCGTCTTTATTGGCAAATTAGGTTGCATAGGGGCCTCCTCGAGTTTCTGCTAACATGAATTTGCGGGTAGACTCCCTATGATTCGACTCATTGTAATTTCTTTGTGTAAGGGCTGAGCAAACCAAACCTTAAGCCTAATGCTAGTCACTAATAAATTTAATGTGCTTTGCTAAAGCTCTATGTTTGTTCTGCTTCTTTTCTTCATGTTCAGATCACTCGAACCAGTGATCTCCCATGCAGTCACGATTCCACTCCTTGCTGCACAACCAGCACCATTCAAAGAGGCAAGAAGGTCTGGGGCATTTCATATGCATGCAGCCTCCTGTGGTTGGGAGAAGTATCAGTCAGTTACATGGAAACAAACACCTTACTTAACTAGAAAACAAACAAATCGGATAATATGAAGGAAGGTGATTTTCAGCTCCATGACATCCAGACAGTGTACAGTTTCTGCACACAACACAAAGGTCTCCAACCCCAAAGGACAGTCGAAGAGAGAATGCGGAGTGGCTAAATGTTTTATATAGCTGGGCTTGCTATATAAAACAGGCAGGAAACAGAGGTCAAGCAAAGATACTTATTCTGAGGATAATTCCCTGAAGAACCCCTATAGTAATGCCTTGCAGCTGTGACAATTTGCTTGTGAAGACAACTGAAGATTTTCTGTCTGATGCTCATTGAACTCAGTTTCACTAGGGTCATATTGTCAGTTGACTGGTGTTCTAGCCTCTCCTGTGGCACTCAGGTCAGATGTCTGGTTTTGTGGAAAATGAGGAAACCAACTGAACATTTGTGAGCAGGTGTTATGCGATAATAACATTAATGATTCTTTCAATTGATGAAAAGAAATTTTGTGGCTCGATTTATCCCATTTGTTGTGGAGATATTGTGGTCATTTTGCATATTGTCATGCAAATGTAAATGTCATAACTGCACAGAAACATTTTGGCCAAGGGAGGTGTTTTACAGATCTACAGACAGAACCATGGAAAACATCATAGACCTAATTGGGTGAAGATTCTATAAGTGGCTTTCTAGACCATGTCAAAGAACATTAACAATTAGTCACACAGTATGTACACTAGAGTGCGTAGGAGTGGCTGATGCCCTTTCCTTAAGAACAATAATGAACCAATTGGAAATTTATGACAAAATAGAAGCTTCATAGTCCTTTTTCCCATATGTTAAAGTCAGATTTATAACATTCCATTTGAACTCAGGTTTACTACTATAATACCATAACCTCTATATTACTTCTATATTGTGCTCAGGTAATTTTTGCAAAGCAAATGAAGATCAATTATTTTCACATTTTGTAATACTGTGAAATATGTTACAATATCTGCCATTTTGGAAATTAATGGGTAAATACTATTCTGATCTTTGTTAATCAGGTTAAAGGATATCTACTAGAATGATACCAGAACTAAAATGCTTAAATTATGAGGACAGGTAAATACAGAAGAGGTGTTTAAGATGTTTAATGAACTTGATGGGGTAAATCGAGATTAATGAGTTGCTCTGTAGGAGATTTCAGAACAAGTGGACACAACCTGAACATTTTTAAAATTCTCCATTGTCTATGGGGTGGCACGGCGGCTCACTGGTTAGCACTGCTGCCCACAGTGCCAAGAACCCAGGTTTGATTCCACACTCAGGCAACTGTCTGTGTGGAACTTGCATATTCTCTCCGTGTCTGTGTGGGTTTCCTCTGGATACACTGGATTCTCCCAAAGTCGAAAGATGTGCAAGTTAAATGAATTGGCCAGTCTAAATTCCCAATAGCATCCAGGGATGCACAGGCTAGGTGGATTAGCCATGGGAAACAAAGGGTTGCAGGGATAGGGTGGGTCTGGGTGGGATGCTCTTCGGAGGGTTGGTGTGGACTTGATGGGCCAAATGGCCTGCTTCCACTCTGTAGGGATTCTGAGTGTCGCTGACAAAGTCAGCATTTATTGCCCATCTAAATTCCTCTTGAGAAAGTGGTGGTGATCCATCTTCTTGTACTGCTGCCGTACACCTCACGTAGATCCAGCCACAGTGCTGTCAGGAAGGAGGTTCCAGGAGTTAGACTCAACAACAACTAATGTCGATATAGTTCTAAGTAAGGATGATTTGTGGCTTAGCAGGAAGTTTGCAAGTGATTGTGGTTCCAGGCATCAGTTGCCCTTGTCCTTTTAAGTGACAGAGTTCAAGGCTTTGGATCTAAAAGTAGAAATCGCTGGAAAAGCTCAGGAGGTCTGGCAGCATCTGCAAAGTTCTGAGGAAGGGTCTCTCAACCGAAACGTTAACTGATTTCTCTTTGCAGATGCTGCCAGACCTCCTGAGCTTTTCCAGCGATTTCTATTTTTGTCTCTGATTTACAGAATTCGCAGTTGTTTCCGTTTTTATCAAGGCTTTGGATGTTGCTGGAGAAAGAGTTGCGGGCAGTGCATCTTGTATATGATACACACTACTGGCACTGTTCGTCGATATTGGAAGCAATGAATGTTTAAAGTAGTGGCCAAGCCACCTGCTTTGTCCTGAATAGTTTCAAGCTTTTTGAGTGTTGGTGGAGCTGTCCTCATCCAGGAGTATGGACAGTATCCATTTACTACAGACTTATGCCTTATAAATAGTAAAGAGGCCTTGGGGAGACAGGGCATCAGTTCCTCACCACAGAATTCCCAGTAATTAACCTGCTTTTCCAGGCACATACTTATATGGCTGGTTCAGTTAAATATCTGGTCAATGGTAATAGCCAGGATGTTAATGATGGGAGATCAGTGATAGTCAAGGGCAGAAGGGTAGATTTTCTCTTACTCAAGATAATTATTCCCCGGCACTAATGTGGCACAAACATTACTTACCACTTTTCAGCCCAGCCTGAATGTTATGGGTATGACCTACTTCAATATCTGAAGAGTACAAATGGCACTGAACTCTGTTCAGCAAACATTGTTATCTCTAATAAAAGCAGAATACTGCAGATGCTGGAAATTTGAAGCAAATGCAGAAAATGCTGGAGAAGCTCAGCAGGTCAGGCATCATCTACGGAGAAATATAGTTAACATTTTGAGTCTGAAATGAATCTTCTCCAAAACTGCCTTCTGATGGAGGAAAAGTAATTAATTGAGGTAGTTGGGCCGAGAACACAATCCTGAGGAACTCCTGCAGCAATATCCTAGGGTTCAAATATTTGGACTCCCACAACCATAACCAACTTGCTTTATGTGAAATACGACTCCAGTCAGTGAGGGATTTTACCCCTGATTCCCATTGACATCAATTTTTCTTGTGGTCCTTGGTGGGCTACACTTGGTCAAATCCTGCATTGATGTGAAGGGAAGTCACTTTCACTTCACGAATTGTGTTCAGCTCTTTTATCCATGTTTGAACCAAGACTGTAATGACCCAAAAGGCCCTGGAGAACCCAAACTGAGCATGAGTGAGCTGGTTACTGCTGGGTAAATGTTACTTGATAGTGCTGTTGGTGACATCACTTTGATGATTGGGAGTAGTCTGATTGGACGATAATTTCAAAAATTATGTCAGGAAGCACCTCCTCAACCAAAGAGTAGTGGAAATCGAGCCCACACACCCCACTTGAACTGAGAAAAAGATGTTGAGGGTGGTCAATTTAAAATTTCACAACACATTGGTAGATTTTTGTATCAAGTGTGATAACTAAGCTGATAGACAGAATTAAAGTATAGAATAGCCAATTTCTAATTCAGTGGAAAGCAGACTGGAGTGGTTCAATATCACTACTGTTTCTGTGTTCCCAGAAGGGAAAGAAACAGCAAAAAAAAGCTAATTTTTCAACTAAAGTTTTCAACTAAATAAAGAATTGCTGCAGTTGGTAAATATAATTTTGTGTCAATTTGGGTGAAGGACATCGCTGGTACAAAATGCAACATGTTTCATATTTGGCACCAACAACAATCTTAAGTCAGATATAGTCAGAATGCAGAATAAGACATCTTGGAGTATCATTTTCATCATGATTCCCCATGTTCTGCTATAAATGTGGCAGAAAGCATGGAGGAATAGCATAAATGGCCAAGGATTTTCAGCCACCCAGGGTTGGGTTAAATTTGATCAAAACTGTTTCAGTAAAGGGTGATAAGGATTGTTGTAGAAAAGTCGTAGTATTCACATCTTTTGATCCAAGGTCCTGGAGATCAGTCAGTGTCCTGGAACCTCAAAGTGCTAATGCCCTACACCAGGGAAGGGTTAACGTAGTGGTAACGTCACTGGATGAGCAATCCAGAGATCCAGGATCATCACCATCTTCTCAAGGACAGTAAAAGATTGGCAATAAGTACTTTCTCTTTTTTACTGACATAGTGAATTCATCAATAGACACTTAGTAATTTTATTTACTCCTAGTGGATACTGGCTAAGTTGGCATGATAGGGTATAGGCATAGGGCTGCAGAGTATAGGCATACATTGGCATAAGGTCTATAAAGGGGCATGGGATGGACACAGGCATTGGTTGGAATCAAAGGTGTGAGGGACCATTGTGGCATAATCTGGAATGTTTTGGCATTAATGTGCATAGGGAGTGTGTGGGAGTGGTGAGGATGGGTGAGGATTATTTGAATTTCATTTTTAAAATTGTTTCGTCAAAGTGTTGTGCTGTGTGGCCAGCCTTTCGCCAAGCCTGCCTCTGCATCCAACAGTCTCTGTACTCTTTCCAGGGTTGCCTGCCATGACTCCCGTTTTCACCCAGCTGCTCTCCCCTCAGCCCTGGAATATAAATTTGGCCTTTTGAGGCACTTTTCCCCAACTCAGGTTTACGGAGCTGGAAATTGTCCCAACTCAGTACTCCCTACCGGGAGCAAACATTCAAGCTAGAGTTCCAGGACCATGACCTTGCATCAGAATGGGACATCATAGAGATGTATAGTAACTAAGTACTGGAGGAGAACAAAAGGGAAGATCTATTATTGAGCAAAAGTCAGAAGAGATTAAATGACAAAAAGAATGATGATGCAAAGGCAAAGGAAGTGGTAATGGGAAGAAGAAAATAAGCGTCTAGAGGAGCTGTAACATTTTTGAACAAAGGGAGATAAGAGATGTCCAAGAGTCGGTTTTCAGCTTCTGTCCATGTAGAATTTGATTTGTCAAATGACAACCATAAAAATCCTTGTCAGCAGCTGTACTGAAACTTCACACTTGGGCCTGACGGAATGGAGTGCAGTGGCTCCCAGTGGAAGTAGATTAATGTAAGTGCAGGGAACAAAGAAAGCCAGGCAGATGATCTCATATTGGCAGTTCTCAAAAAAAAAAATGTGGAAAGGATAAAGGGTGTAGGGAAAGGGTTGCTGTGCTAGGGTAGGACAAGTTCAACAAGCATGTCGAGCTCAAAACTCATTCAGGTGGGAACTGAAATTAAGGCCTTTGCTGAGGACAGATTGCTTGGGGTTAATGAGAAGAATGTCATATCATGCAGCAAATTCAAAGAGATATTTTGGTCTCTCATTTCATACTTTGGATGGCAGGAATTGAATACGATGTTTTTTGATCTGTTCTTGGCAGTAATTTTCTTACAGCACATCTCTGAAGAATTCTGATTTCGTTTAATAACATTTAGTGATACAAGGATGAGGGTTATGTTGTTATTGTTTCAGCCCAAATAAGAGCAGGTACACACCATTCTTCTCTACTGGTACTTGGCACTTGGGACAAGGTTTAGTTGTTTCCTTGATTGCCTGTCGTGAGGCCTTGTCCCAGAGAGCTCGCTGTGCAGCTTGCTGATTGATAACATAACCCTACAAACAGAAGAATGAATAAGACATTATGTCACTGCACTTAGTTCACAAATTTATGCATGCATAAAGAAAATAAATCAGGGCACTTGTCTCCTCTCTGTTCCCCTGCAGAAGGCATTGAGTCCTTGCTGATATTATAGTTCTATCAGAGCCAGTCACCCATTGATACCTTGCTCAAAGAGCCATTATTCATTCATGAGCATAAACAGCCCATAATTAAAATGCCATTTGACTGTTAGGCCACTCTAACATTTTCTTAAGATGCATTCTTAGAAAATGGGCACTGCTGGAAAGGCTGGTCTTTATTGCTTAGTTCCTTGTTAGGAGCTAGTGCTGAAGATTCTTAGACTGCTGCTATCTGAGTGGCGAGGGTATGTTAGTGGATCTGTTAAGCAAAGAATTCCAGGATATTGACCCGATGGACCCAAGGACCTTCTGTCCTTGTCCTGCTAAATGGTGGAGCTTACAGGTTTGGGATATGTTTTTGAAGGTAGATTGGTGTCTTGCTGGAGTACATCCTGTAGATAGTACACACTGCAGACCCAGTGTACCAGTGGTGGAGGGAGTAAAGATTTAAACCAATTCTAATCATCTCCACCCATGGCATTTTCAGTAGCAATGCTCCTATTAAGCAGCTTGGAATGCTTTACAATGTTAAAGGTGTTATAGAAGTACAAGCTATTATTACCATTGTGATCAGGAGCTGGAATATTGCCCAATTATTTCTCTCACCAACCCCCACTTCCCCATTTCAGTTAGGAGTTCTAAGGCTAACTGTGGTGCTGCCCTTATTGAGATTAGTGAATTTACTGGGGTGCTCGGAAACTTCCTAATTGTGTATTTCGAATTCTCACCAGAGTTACCAGTGCAGCCAAACTGGAAAGTATTGTTTGTTGGAACTATTCTGTATTATCTGGCAAAACCATAGTGAAGATATGGGAGGAAGGGCAAACATATCACAATGTGCTTCATTAGCTACATTCCCATCTCTGCTATTTTTTTGCTTCTGGAGAAATTAATATAGGTATGCGTATTATGGTGTACTAACGATGGCAAGATGCCAGTCTATGTATTTTTCATCATTTGCATCGGTATTGCTGGTCACTCGAAGAGCTGGTGTGTTTCTGGCGTCCAGGATTGTTATGGTTCAGGAAAAGGCAAAAAGCTGAATCGTGGCAAACTTAAAATTTGTGGATGGTCCTAGAGGCTGCTCACCTTGATATGCAGTATTAGGTGCCTGAGGCCTATCAGCTGCCAATTTGTGCCTTCCCTTGTGGGGTTGGGGGTTGTTTTGCAAAGACATGAACTTTACCCCCTGATCAGGATGGACCACTCAGAATGATGGAGCAGCCAATGTGGTGAACATGAGGTGGGATTCTGAAGTGGAACAACACAAGATAGATCTATAAGTTGTGGTTGTATCAGTAATTGTTCGGAAAGTGTTAATGCAGGAGTTTCATTAGGTTTTGCCTAATCTGATGATGCCACATATTCTTTTTTTGGAGCACAGGGAAATTTAGCACAAGGTCCCCGTAGAGACAGACATGTCATCTCTGGCTCCTGGTAGTTGTAATTGACTGTTTAATATAAATTGTACTTACTGCAATCATGCAATAAACTAAATCTTATTACGTAAGAAAAGTTCCCACTTCTTCTTAAGATTCACCATTGGTCTATCCTCTACCACAGAAGTAAACAGGCCTTCAGACTGAGCATAGAAAAGACAATTGGGGACTGTGAACAACCCCAGCCACAAGCCAGCAGTGGTTGCCACAAAAGCTCAATATAACCATTGTCATTGTATAGTGATGATTATACTGAAATACTATTCTAGACGCCTGAATCATAGCTTTCTAGCTTAAGGTCTACTGCAGCAGTTTTGGAATTTAGTTCAGTTAAAACTAATGCCCTTTAGAAGACAAAACCTGCCATCCTTACCTTATCGGGTTCATATGTGACTCCAGTCTCAAAAACAATTTGCATTTATACAGCATCTTTAATGTAGTGAAGCTTTGTTGAAGCATCATCAAACAAAATTTAGCACTGAGCCACATGAGGAGATATTAGTACACACGACAAAAACCTTGGTCAAAGAGGTAGGTTTTAAAACAGGATTACCAAACTGTTTTGCAACCAACAATGGTGTATCAATACAAGCAATTGGATTCAAGAGTTCCCTTTCCTCGAGACCTGCTGCAGCATCTATGGATCCATTCTAGTGGATCAGCCTGGCATTGGCTTGGTAGGCATGTGCATGATTTTCTTTTCTCCTGCCAAGGTTCTGCTGGGTTGGCCAGATGGAATGAGCTCCAAAGCCTGTCACTTCATCAAAAATGGGAGGAGAACATATTGCTGTGCAGCCTCCAATCAGAACACCTTCACATTGCTCCATCCCTCACAAACATTACCACCCCCACAGTCCTACCTATCGTAGAGCTCTATCTACTGCACTATCCACCACACTATCCTAAAAGTCCCACAACTTTTAGAGTCTGTACTGCACCTCCCCCAGAAAACTGTCATAGCTCTAAGCCCGCCCCACAGATAGCTCTAAAAGCTTTACACCCCTACACATCTACCTACCTCACTCTCATATTCTATTCCCCTTCCTACTGCTCGCATAGCTTCCATTACCTCCAGACCCCATCCTCACTCTGGGATGACGACATTCTCCATATCAAAATGGAGTCAGACTGGGAAAATGTTTCAGAAGCATTAAGCATTTGAAAGAGAAAGA